ATACGTGTCCTAACCAGCGAAGCCGACTAATCTGAATTCGATGGGACAACGAATTCTCCATCGAATCATTACCAAATACGCAACGCCTTACATCAGATTTTCTTACAAGCTCGCTCCATCCGACCCGCGCCAAACTACGTAAACATCTGCAGTCGAATACTTTAAGACGACGAACATCTTCCATGCACAAATTTAGGGTCTCGCAACCATAAAGCAGAACTGACCGCACACTGGCGCAGAGTACACGACCTTTCAGTTTCAACGAAACATCGCGTCTGCATCAAAGCTGTTTCAATCCTGCGTAAGCTGCTCGAGCCTTGGAAATGCGGGCAGTTACTTCATTGACTATTCTACCGTTATTTGAAACGCAACTACCTAAGTAGGTGAAACATCCCAGTGTAGCTATTTCTTGACCATCAAGCATCAGCGCGAGGTAGACGACACCCAGTCTTGTGGCATTACCGCACTTTGAAGGTGCAAAGCGCATGCCGAGAGGAGATACAGAACTTGCTACTCTGTCTAGACAATCAAAACTGGCAAACCGAATGAAAACCCAAAGAGGAAATGCACAGCATTATGTCAATTTCAAGCGAGAATCATTCATGAAAATGCCGCTGTCTGACCACGAATATTGAAGCGAGAACTCAGTCAAATGGCCAAGTTCCGTCGGAACCTTCGAAGTCAGTGTAACCAAGCTCTATAGCTATTAAATATAGTAACCCCAGGAGCATGCGTAGCACTCACCTGAGGCTGTCCAATGTACCTCTTGAAAAGCAGCATTAATACAAAGACTTACTGATGCATTGGGTGTCGATTGATTTTTAGCTTTTACACTCATTGAACCGAAAACTGAACGCTATGCCTTCGATCGTACTCTTACGGTAAAAATAACTAGAAAGCAATTTTAAATTAAATGAAAACTTGATGTGCATAGGTAAAAGTACGTATCAAAACATCGCTGTATACAACACACGATCTGACAATAGTAGGTAAGTCCTTTGGATATCTATTAGGTAACCTGGCTCTATAAGTCAAAGTCATCTCAATGATTTAAACCTTTATATCTTTCCGCGACAGCAACATGTTGTTCCTTTTAATGGCTTCCAGCAAAACACTCAATTTTCGGATAGCCTTGCGAGGTTCCAGATTACTAGGCGTAAAAAAGGGTTCGGACAACGTAATTCCTGACTACTGAACACCGAATTTAGTGCTGGAGCAAGATGGTATATCTCTGGGGGATGTCTCTCAGTGTTGCTAACTTAGAGGTCGCACAAAATTTTCACCTGTAACGTAAATGCACTCGATATACATCGGTTCAGAGAGATGCGNGCGGCTATATAGTAGTAGTGTGAACGACTGGACAAAATCTCCCTGAAAGCACACGACCGGTTTCGTCAAGAGAAGAGTGAGAATAAATCGTCGAGTGATATCAAGACAAAGGCGTGACATGTGGAGGGGGGAGCATGTGTACAGAAAGTGAACAAATACTTCAGCGCCACCAAGTACGAGTCATCCTGCCGGCTGACGAATTCTATCTAATGACATGCATAGCACGTGCTCCAACAGTTACAATCAATGGATTGGTACAGGAATGCGACTATCAGTTCAGCTGGCCTGGTGCTAACCAGATTGCTTCATCTGCAACTGGAGCTCCGTGGGCAGTGTCATGCGAGCCTCCAGCAGAAACAGAAGTTCGGTCTTGCATTCAATCTCTGAAGCGAGGAA